ATGTAACATTCTTCTTCTTTCACTGGTTAAGTATATTAGTATTTAGGCAATACTGTGCTTCGGATCTTCGGCACTTTGACACTTCGGAAATTTGGTCATTTCGGAACTTCGGCACTTTGGACATTCGGAAGTACCCGAATTGCCCGAAATTCGTCCGAATTCATATTCGGACCGAAACGAATTGCACATGTCTATCAGCTAAGGTCTTGGCCTCGATGTTCGAGAGGGCTACTGTTTCAGGGTATCTAGTGGCGTAGTCCACTACAGTTGGGATGAACTTTTTGCCGGGCTGACTGGGTCCGCTGAGGGGTCCTATTAAGTCTACCGCTACTCGGTGAAACGGCTCTTCTATAATGGGTAAAGGGTGGAGTTTGGCTTTTTGGTGGTCACCTCTTTTCCCTATCTTTTGACATATGTCACACGTTCTACAATAATATTTAAGATCCTGCGTGATCCTAGGCTAAAAGAACGTTTGGGTCAACCGGTCCCTCATCTTCTTAACCCCTAGATGTCCTGCTAGGAGAATGTCGTGACTGAGTTTTAATAACTGAGCACGAGACTTATGGGCTACTACTAGCTGTCTTTTAGTGACTTAGGTGGCCCTGTGTCCCACCCCTCCTGTCACTCGATACAATAATCCCTTATACCACTCAAACCTTTCGGGAGTGCTGTCACCCCGGGGAACCTCTACTGCCTTTCTATACCCTTCTAGTGTGGGGTCTGTTTTCTGTTCCTGTTCAAAACCCTGTGGAGTATCGCAGAAAGTGGAAGGAGGGTCGGGGAAAGGGGGTATTTCAACTCCTACCTGGTTTTCCTCAGAGTGCAGTGGGGCTTCCAGTCTGGCTTGTGCTCAGGTGGTAACCGGGTAGGCTTCTGAAGTAGTGTCCCATGAGAATTGAGAGGTTAAACAGCTTACGTCATTCCCCAATAAGACCTCTGCTGGCAATTCCTGCATAATGCCAACCTCCAACTGTTTAGATCCAGTTGACAAGGACGTTGGCTGTGGGTAGCTTGTGTATGGCACCCCCAGCCACCCTTACGGCTACTGTGTGGCCGGTGCGAGCCTGGGCCTTGACCATGTGTGGTTGTACTACGGTTAGTGTGGCCCCAGAGTCTCTCATAGCCCTGGTTGTCGCCCCCAGCTTGCACTGGATTGACCTCATGCAAGGCACTCCACTGCTCTTCTTGGTTAGGGACGCTGGTAGGACTTTCCTGTTGGACACAATGCCCTGGGTTGTTGTGGTGGTTGCCTTTCCCAGCTTCCTCGATTCAAACGAGGACACTGGTTTTTGTAATGCCCTGGTTGCTTGCAGTAATGACATACTGCAGGGGTCGAGGTGTTGCTGCTGGGCCTTGTGGAGGGTTACTTATGGAGGTTCTAGGTGGTGCAGGTGTTGCTGGTACTGGGTAGGTCTGTTTAAAAGTTGGTCTGCTTACACCCTGTTCTCACCTCCGGTTGTCCTGGTGCTCATCCGCTAGTCTGGCAGCTTCCTCCACAGTTTGGGTTTTGGGTTTTCTGTTCTTTACCCAGTCTTTTATATCGTCTGCTGTGTGGTTAAAAAACTGCTCCAATAATATGAGCTGTAAGGCATCCTCCAGGGTAGTTGCTTGGCAGCCCTGCATCCAATTCCGGGCTGCCCTGTGTAGCCGGAAAGCCCATTCAATGTGCGAACCTTTCCCTGTTTTCCGAAGTTCCCTAAACTTCTTCCTGTACGCCTCTGGGGTTACAGCATATCTTCTGGCCAACAAAATGTCTTTTACCTTGCCATAATTGTGTATGTCCCCATCAGGTACTGCTCGCAACGCCTCTGCTGCTCTTCCTGATAGCTTGCTGCTAAGTACTGCAGCCCATTTTGTGGAGTCTAATCCCTCCAGCGCACATTGACGTTCAAAGTCTTGTAGATAACTGTCAATTTCCATGTCATTATCATTAAAAGTTTTAAACGCTGCATAGTCTACCTTCTTTGGTAGGTCATTTGTACTTCCCGGGGAGTGTAGCAAATCCCCCTGTAACGGCCTGTTTCGATCGTTTTGCTCTTTTTGCGATTGTCTGGCTTGTGCCATGACCTGCAGAACTGCCTCTGTTGATGGATTGGGTCCCAATACACTGAGCATCCATCTGATATCCTTCTGCATCTCGGTTTCTTCCTCGTGCTCCATTTCTGTATTACTGGTTCCGTCGCTCTGTATTAAATTCGCAATTAACGTGGCTTTTGTCTTGTTACTTGCCACTACGCCTCGAGCCTCCAGTAAATCTTTTAGCGTGCATCTTTTAAGTAGCTGGTATTGCTGAGCCATTAATTTCCTTGCTTGGTTCAGAACGTCCATTCGGGTTTCGAATCCCTCCGCTTGCCACCAGTTGTAAGGAAACCTAGGATATCCAATCCTCATTCGGTAGTTTCCTCCCGAACCGCCAGAGCATCATTGATTATAGCTCTCCATTCGGTAGATGAAATACACGAAAATCCATATGAATACAATAGCTTTACAAGATGATTCCCTTAATAAAGCATACGAATCCCCAAACATCAGCTGAAGTCTAGAAGAAGGGTGCAACAGAATTGGCTTTTAATGACCACACACTGGCTTTTATGCAAGTCCCCATGCAAGAGGACATCCCACAGGGAGGGACACAGTACAACCAATCATTTACAGGAAAAACATAAAACACTCCCAGCACAAACATACAATTCCCTCCCCTAGTCCTGGAGATAATCAAGTCTGATAAAGTAATAACTTGATTATCTCCAGGCAGAAAAATTTAAATTTTCCCCAATATTCAGAAGACCCCTTTAGGCATATGCCCACATAGCCTGATAGCCCCGATCTGGGTGACCAGCATATTCAAATTTCACCCATATCGGTTTCCGGGGTTCTCAAAAAAATATGGAAGTCTTTTGTGACCGGCTAACCGTGAGGTGGCTGCCCAAAATAGTTCCATGAGTTTGGGTAGTTTTGCCGGTCTATTTTGTTAAGTGGCAAAAACCAAATAATTCCACGAATGGTTTCCCCTTGCTCTTAGCAGCGATTGTTCCCCTCATTCGAATGAACAAAAGTACCGAACAGCGCTCTTCTAGCTGTTTGAGAAATAAAGATCCAGCTTTCGCATGTTGAGACCGGTGTTCGGGAAGTCGAGTGTCCGATTTTAGTTCCAGACACTCGACGACAAAGTCCAGCTGCCTTTGTTCGCATAAAAAAAGATGGCCGCCGTTTTCTCAGCCACGTGGTGTTTGGTAGTACGAACGCTGGCCGCACAGGTAGAGGGTTCAATTGAGGCATTCTTTGAAGTTTAACGAGCCAGGGGGGTGGTCTCTGTTCGGTAGTTACATCTACCGAATGAATAGGGAAGAAATATTAAACGTAAAAGAGGGATTTCTTCACATATAGCATTTAGGAATAAATGAAAATAAGGAATGCTTAATTAGCAGTAAGTAGTATAGTCTGTTACACTTGAATATAGTTGTGACAGAGCAGGTGATTCCTGTTGTAGGAGAGTAATACAGTCTTTTAACTTGAACCAGTAAATATTGGAAATGATACATATCCTTGTATAAGAAGTGGATATATTCTTTTAGACTCCAATAATAATAAACATAAATGAGTAATTTGGCAAATGAGAATTTCAATAGATATAGCAAGTGGAATCCCAGAGGGCAGACTTTAGTATTCATTTTCCTTCCAAAATAACTTTAGTTAACAACCTATTAGTAATCTCAATATCTGTGGAATTTATCTTGCCTTTCTTGGATGATGAGCATTTTAGTCCATTCCAGAGTAGAGTGGATTATGGTTCCCTGAAGTAAATGGAGAGAGGCAGGAATCCGAAGTGAAGTCTGTACCTTGTCAGGGAGTTGAGAGTAGAGCGTAGCCAGTATCACAGCTAGAGAGGTTCGGTACACAGGAAATCATTAAGTAGAGCTCTGTCGGGAAGCAACAACAATGTAGCAAGTAGCGAGAGCACATCAAAGATGAACAACACATTGATTGAGCCATTTGGATGCGGTCGCGGCTTCCTTTTGAAGGGAAGCGCATGACATCAGGTGCATGGGCGGAGACGTAATGGCAAAACCCAAAAGTTAAACGGGTAATGCCGATCGGTCTAGAAACAATATGGAGGAATTCCGAAACAACAGGGGAACCCTGACACCAGTCTAGAGGTCGACGTGCTTCTGGTAGGTCAGAGCGCGCAGGGAAAACTCTGAAGAGAGCCTTCTCCTGAAAATCCAACAGAGAAGCTTAGGAATCCTCCAAATATCACACAGGCAGTTGAGGCTCACCTAATGACACACCCAGGGGCGGACTGACCACTCGGGCATATCGGTCACGGACCGAGGGCCCGAGGCAGTCAGGGGCCCGGCAGCACAGCCTTGTTCCAGCTGGAGAGATCAGAGATCTCTCCAACTGGAACAGCAAAATAATAAAATAAAACTTTTTCATTGATAGGTTGTGGGGCCCCTGATGCAGCGCGGGGCCCCCACAACCTACCGCTCTGCTATTCACCCCTCCCCCCCCCCATGAGACCTGGCAGCTTCACCTGCTCTCTGCCAGGTCTCCGGCTTCCTCTCCCATGCGGCTCTGTGTGATGGGAGAGGCGGGGCCAGGAAGTGACCTCACTTCCTGTTTACTCCTTTCACACAGAGCCAGGAGGGGAAGGAGCTGCAGCCTGGGAGAGGAAGCAGAGAGACAGGTAGGCACCAATCACCCCCCCTCACTGTCACTAGTCACCCACCCCTCACTGTCACCAGTCACCCCCCCTCACTGTCACCAGTCACCCCCCTCACTGTCACT